TGTAGCTGCTCTTCGCGAGATTAGGAGATACCAGAAGACGACCGAGCTGTTAATACGTCGACTACCATTCCAGAGGATCTGTCGGGAAGTTACTATAGATATCGCAAGTAAATCTTCGAGTAGCGTATGCCGGTTCTAAGCAGAGGCCCTCCTCTGTCTACAGGAAGCGACGGAAGCGTTTCTTACACTTGAGTTCGAAGTCTCTAATATGCTTGCAATACATGCGAAACGAGTGACGTTGCAGCAAAAGGATATAGTACTTTGTCGATAGATTCGGAAGCGCTTCCTAGGGGAAAATAACGGAAAAGATGACTTTTAAGCTTTTGGGAATCTGCCGACCATATCTGCCGACTATGTCTGCCGACTATGTCTGCCAACTATGTCTCAGGGGAAGGATTAGGACTCCTACCGAGAAGACTTTCCGATGATATTTACTACCTGTACCGACCGTACCTGCCGACCGTACCTGCTGACCGTACCTGCCGACCGTACCTGCCGACCGTACCTGCCGACCGTACCTGCCGACCGTACCTGCCGACCGTACCTACTGACCGTGCCTGCCGGTTACTCCCGGCAATTGAAGATTACGTACGCAAACCTTATTTGGATCTCGTGTGAAGTGTGTATGTGTTATTACTTAGGCAGCAAACAATCCGTAGCCTCTGATTGGCCGAGCGGTTGTCTCCCAACAACACAAAGTTACTCTCCACTTCAGAAAAAACCTAACTTACTATATCAACATTGCCCCCTTCCTTTCTCTCTCTCCTTACTACCTCTACCACACTACACTACACTACACCACCTCCGCTACACTACACTACACCACCATACTACACCACACTACCGCTACTACACCACACCAGCGCACCAATCCACTACAATGGCCTCGGCAATGTCGATTGCGCAGAAGCGCAAACAATCGATCGTACGCAAGACTCCTCGCACTGGTAGAAAGGGACTTCCTTCGCGCATAGGTAGTAAAAAGCTTCTAGGCACTCGTATCAAGAAGGGACACAGATATGCCCTAGGTAGTAAGTAATTCCAGAATCCAGATTTGTAGTCGGCATTTGTGGTCGGCATTTGTGGTCGGCACTAACTTTCTCAAAGCATTGGCTCTCAAAGAGATCAGGAAGTGCTAGAAGGAGAGCCTGCTCTACATTAAGAAAACCCCATTTGCCAGACTTATCAAGGAGCTCGTTATAGATCAGGCTCATACACCTCTTCGCATTCAAGCAAGCGCTCTTGGCGTTCTTCAAGAATATGCTGAGTCTCTCTTAGTAAGAATCTTTACCTATAAGTCTTCCCATTTCTTATTCTTTCTGATTACTTACTTACTTACTTACCTCCTCTAGCGGCCAACCTTTTGGCCATCTACGCTAAGCGCGTCACACTCTAAGGCAAAGATATAGAGTATCTTCGCTCGCTTCTCAAGGAGTGGGGTGTTTGGCCTGACGATTTCGTAGTCTGCCCTTACAATTCTGGTCCTGTCAATCCCAATTTCATCCACACAGAGCCAAAGAAGAACAAGGCTACTAAGGCGCTGAAAGCAAAGGCTACGCCAAAATGCAAGCCTCTCCCAACTAAGCAGCCTCGACGAATCGTTGAAGACGATTCTGACGAGGATATGCCAGACGCCACTCAGAATCCGACTGTAGAAAACAATAATAGCGAGGATACTACTGCTCAGCAGGCAACTCTTGGTAAGTTACTCTTTTATTATTAATTATAATATACTAATTTAATAGCTCAGGATAATACTCCGCTACTCCTAGATAATGAGCAGGACGATGATGAGCAGGATGAAGATGAGCAGGAACAAGATGAGCAAGATCAAGATGTCCGAGATCAAGATGTCCAAGGTCGAGACTTTCAAGCTAGTTATAATCAAGAAGAGCTAGATAATGATTCTAGCGATAATGAGCAAACTCTTAAGCAGAGGCTAGAAGCCTATGCTAATAAGCTGGTAGCGGCAGCTCACGCGCTTACTGTTGCGAAAGAGCGTTCAGAAGATAGCTTACGCCTTGCTCAGGAAACTCTCGAGGGAGACGCAAAGAAAATTGCGCGTCAGTTTCATCGTTAGCAGCGGCTGAATTTCGAGGATCAACTTTGCGCTTATTAAAAGATACAAGACGCTGAGGTAGAGGCCTTGAAGCAGCAAGCAAAGGAGCAAGCTGCTCTAGATGCTCAGCTACTTACTAAGAACTAAGGTAGTTTCTATCCTTAGTATATAGTAGCTCATAACTATAATCAATTGGTTAGAGCTTCCCTCATTATTCTGGTAATCCCTTTTTGATTGGTATATATAGTCGGCATATATGGTCGGCAGCTGCAATAAACATAGAATATATTCCTATCAAATTCTACGCTCTAGGAATCAGGTAGTAGGTATATATCCCTTATTAATATTTCTTTCTACTATTTTGTAGGTATTCAACTCGTATTATGTAATACCCATTGCAATACCCATTGGGTATACCCACTGGGTTTTTACCGTTGGGTTGTACCCCGCTTATAAGCTGGGTACCCAGCTTATTTGTAGGGTTGGGTATTTAAGTTGGGTTG